TTTGTTTGTTTGTTTTCAGTTTTTCTTTAAAGATTTGTGTCTTTCCATAATTTGCCCCTTTTATGTAGATGTGTCTATGTAAATGAACACATGGGTACACACAGATAGGAGATCAGAGGTGTTCTCATTCCTCAGGAACCATCTACATTTTCTTTTGAGACAGGTCTCTCACTGTAGGCTGGTCTGTAGGCTGAGCTGGCTAGCCATCAAACCCTGGAAATCCATTTCTTCTTCCCCAGTGCTGGAACAGAAGCACATGCCACCATACCTGGTCCTTAAAGAAAAACAAACAAACATGAATTCTAGCACCAACTCAGATCCTCATGCTTGCAAGACAAGCACGCCCCCATCTCCCCAGCCTTTCGCTTTCTTTCTCAGCCCCTTATAACTGCCATAGAGGCTTCATCCAGTCTGAGTTATACTGATGTTGATATCTGTCTTTTGTGAATGGTTAAGATATTCCTGATATTTCACATGACAAGTAATTTTGCTACATTAACCTTCCCTCAGAGGACAGCAGCAGCAGATGTTTGCTGACCGGATAGACTACCAGGAACTGCCAAGGAAACAATTATACCAGAGTCTAGTTTGGTGAGCCAGTCAGCTTCTGTAACTGGGGCTATAGAAGCATGAGCAGCCATAGAAGCTGAGCTACAGAGGAAAGTCTCTCTCCCCCAGCAGCTGTTAACTGCTTATATATCCTCTTAACAGAAGGGCCTGGTGGGCACCCCACCCCCACCGCAGCAACTGTTAACTGCCTATCTCCAGGAGGGGAGGGGAAGCACAGCTGCTGCTGTTCAAGAAGGCCCTGTCATGCCCGGAGGACAGCATTCCACAACAAATTTTAAATGCTATCCTAGGTATTTTCGATGTTTTGTGGGACTCTGGCCCCTAGTTGTGCTTAAAAGTGGGGGTGGGGTAAGGAGCTAGCCATTTGATCTAGTTAGGTTCACTCTCCTCGCTCTGTGCCGGCCCGCCTTGCTCTCCAGAAAGCTAGAGACATCAGTTCTCAATCATGAAGTGGAGGAGGTGGCTGAGCGATGCAGGGACAAAGAGAAAAATAAAAGCTGCAGGAGTTTCCACAGTCCACCACCATTCTCTGAACACAGCTCCTCTGATCATAAAGGAAGATTCATTTCAGAGTCTTAGATCCTCTCTTTTCCGCCATTACTGCCACAGGATTGTGCCACATTGATTTCTGCTTGTGTAAGGAATGGGGCAAGAGAGGATGGATCGGAGAGAGACAAGGGCTTTCTTCTTACCTTTTGAGTCACATTTTCTATTCCTCGGCAGTGTTGGTCCACAGAGGTCTTCTCTTGAAGCTTTCTGTGTCCACCCATACTTGATGTTACCTTTGCGGCAAAGAGCTTACCCTGGAAAACATGATAGGAGTGGGAAAAGCAAGGAATGTACCTAAACTTGTCATAGATTTCTACAATCTGCCCACTTTCACTTACTTTACAGAGTCTTTAGATAGGTGATACTAATGCATGGATTCTGACCAAGAATCCAGGGTTTTTAGTGGATTCAAGTGGAGAAAAGAATCCATCTTAGTGAGGAACTTCTAGAACGTTTTGAGCTCTTGAAGTTATAAATCATGTATTTATCAGTGTTTGATTGTTACTAGCTTGCAGGTTTGTAAACTAAAAAGATTTATAAAGTAACTTCACCTCAGACCACAGCTGATAATGGCTAAGATTGAGTCTATGTCTGCCCATGTATTAGGATATCTGCATGAATTCACCTAGTTCTCAGAAGGTCCAACTGCGTAAACTATTTTTTAATATAATTTTTACTTTTTATATTAATTACCGGTTATTTACTTTGTATCCCAGCTATAGTCCCCTCCTCCCTCATTCCCTCCCAATCCCATCCTTCCTCCCTCATTCCCTCCCAATCCCATCCTTCCTCCCTCATCTCCTCCCTGCCTCTCCAAGTCCACTAATAGGGGAGGTCCTACTCCCCTTCCATCTGACCCTAGTGCATAAACTATTTTTAGCTTCATTTTACCAATGAAGAAACACAGACTTTTATAAAGTCTGTCTTCCCAGTGTATGGTCTTTGGACCAATCACCTTGTCATTGCTCTGGTAGCCTCTAAGTAACATAAAGGTTTGGGTTTTTTTTTTCTTAATATATATTAATTATAGTTTATTCACTTTGTATCCCAGCTGTAGCTTCCTCCCTCATTCCCTCCCAATCCCATCCTGCTTCCCTCATCTCCTCCCATACCCCTCTCCAAGTCCACTGATAGGAAAGGTCCTCCTCCCCTTCCATCTGACCCTAGCCTATCAGGTCTCATCAGGAGTGGCTGCATTGTCTTCCTCTGTGGCCTGGTAAAGCAGCTCCCCACTCAGGGGGAAGTAATCAAAGAACCAGCCACTGAGTTCATATCAGAGACAGTCCCTATTCCCCTTATTAGGGAACCCATTTGGATACTAAGCTGCCATGGGCTATATCTGTGCAGGGGTTCTAGGTTATCTCTATGCATGATCCTTGGTTGGAGTATCAGTCTTAGAAAAGACCTCTGGGCCCAGATTTCTTGGTTCTGTTGCTCTCCTTGTAGAGCTCCTGTCTCCTCAGGTCTTTCTATCTTACTTTTCTTTCATAAGATTCCCTGCATTCTGCCCAAAGTTAGGCTATAAGTCTCAGCATCTGCTTTGATACCGTGCTGAGTAGAGTCTTTCAGAGGCCCTTTGTGGTAGGCTGTTGTCCTATTTCCTGTTTTCTCCCTCTTCTGATATCCACTTTGGAAATCAATCTGGTGCTTTCTCTGACAATTAAGAATAGCACTTCCTCAAGATCCAGCTATACCACTCCTAGGCATATATCCAAAATATGCTCAAGTACACAACAAGGACATTTGCTCAACCATGTTGGTAGCAACTTTATTCATAATAGGCAGGACCTGGAAACAACCCAGATGTCCCTCACCTGAGGAATGGATACAGAAATTGTGGTACGTTTACACAATGGAATACTACTCAACAATTAAAAACAAGGAAATCATGAAATTTTCAGGCAAATAATGGGACCTAGAAAAAATGATCCTGAGTGAGGTATCCCAGAAGCAGAAAGACACATATGATATATACTCACTTATGAGTGGATATTAGGCATATAATATAGGATAAACATACTGAAATCTGTACCTAAAAGAAGTTAAGCAAGAAGGAGGACCCTGGGTAAGATGATCAATCCTCACTCAGAAAGGCAAAAGGTTTGGGCTTTGAACCAGACTTTTTTGAGATCAGAATCTGCATTTGAACAAGATCTCTCAGATGATTCACTAAACTGTGCTTTTTCAAATTTCTGGTACAGAGAAATTATTAGTAACTTGGTCAGTGTCATTCCCCCATGTAAGTGACCGTTTGAATCAAGCAAGTTCAACTTAGCATTAGTGTTAGGCTGATCTAAAATATTAGCTAGTCATTGGACTTAAACAGTATCAAATAAAGGCTGAATTTCTTTTGTTAATAGAAGGGTTAAGGTACAAACTGTTCTTTTGGGTACACATTTCAAATGCTGCTTGTGCTCATTGACTTACCCTTAGAGAAATGTGTTATTCACCTTGGAAAGGACTCTGGCTAATTAGGAGTTCATCCTATGAAAGAAAGCATGATAGTCTGATTGAAATAACATTAACAAAAATTTGGAATTTTTTATATTTAGTATATTCCCCTACATGGAATCCAGAGTGGCATTTTAAGGAATAAATGAGATGACGCTTTGCTTAAAATCTTTAGCTGGCTTCCCATTATACTTCACCTCCATCCTTCACTCTCCATGGTCAAGCTGACTGCTACCTTTCTTGACCTTTTGTCTGCCTCTGGAGCACAAGCTCTGTCCCACTCACTTTTGTATCACTTCTGCCTTTTGTTTGAATTGGCCTTCTCCCTGGGCTATGTCCTGCGTCTTTTCTTACATGGCTCTTTCTCTCATATTTCAAATGTCAGCCTTGCCTAGCCTACCATGTTGAAAATACCCTTCCACAAACACATGGTGATGCTCCATGGGTTAGTGTTATTGTTTTTTAATTTGTTATTGCTATATCTGGGGTTGTGTGTGTGTATGATGGGAGACATGCATGCCACAGCATGTGTGTGGCAGTCAGAGAACAACTTTCCAGAGTCAGGTTCTCTCCTCCACCTTTACGTGGGTTCCAGGACTTGAACTCAGGTCCCAGGCTTGTGTAGACAAGTGTCTTTACCAGCTGAGTCATCTTACTGGCCCAAGTTGGCATTCTTACATAGTGTTTGTAGCATTTTTCAGTGCCACGAAATATTTTAGGAACCACTTTCATGATCTATGTCTGTGGATGAGGATCTACTAGTAGCTTTTCAATTTGTTAAAGCATACTGAAGTATAGTGTGCGTCTAAAATTAGTTAATATAAAGCTTGGATAGTTAATGAACTCTGGCATGTTGAGTTTTATACTGTGTGGTCATTACTGTAAAGTAATAGGGGTGATAGTATTTTTAAACAGTTGTTGAAACTTAGTAGACTAAGTTAGTAGACTTAGTAGACTAAAGTATTGTCAGCTAATCAGAAGACTGGGACAGAAATAGCTCACAAGCCAGATGGGCAACATAACAAGATACCATCTCAAATAAAGAAAAGGACTTTTAAAAAAGGAAAAGTGAAAACAGTCGAAATAATGCCAGTTATGACTGAAAGATCTCCCATCCATTTTGTTTTTCATTTAGAACTTTTGAGGTTTAACCATCAAAAGGAATCCTCAGACATACCATGTCCTAAAGCTATTAACCAGCAAGAATATGAGTGGTAGTTTAAAACGCATTAGCTGTTAGAGTAAAACTGTTGTTTGAGTTCCAGTATAAGTTGTGCTTGGCATCAGCCAACATAGCATGCTGATAGTGATAGTGTTGAATATGTCAAATGTCTCGCATTTTTATTGGTGTTCTTGTTGACATAAATACACGTTTATGTGCTATTCCCTATCTTACGAGTTGTGCCTGTCTTTTGTCTCTGTGACTGTAGGTAACAGTTAACCTCTTTCATATGCAGCAGCTACAGGCTGCATCGGTTGCCAGCAGGTTACAGTCTCTCTGTGATAGAGCCAAACTCTATGATCCGGGTCAAGAATACAGTGAATTTGTGAAGGCTACAAGCTCAAGTGACTTAGAAGAAAAGGTTGATGGGTAAGAATTAGTCTGTAGGTGAAATTATTTCAAGGACAAAAACATCTGCTCAGTTCCTGTCTAAGTTTATAAGGAACTGTCTTTTCTTACGCTGAAATATTAACTTTAATTTTTTCCAATATTTTCATATTATTTTGTGGTTTCTTAGTACATTTAAGGGATTGAAACAACATACTTGAGAATAAAGCTTTCAATTTTGACACAGACCTCACTTTTTGAGTCTTAAAAATCCTTTGTAATAGCAAATAATGACCTATTTTGAGTGTATCAAAAACATTTCCCACTAATGTTAGATTAGAAAAGTTTAATGATATAAATATTAAATACTCTATTGTTATACCTCATCCATATTTCAGCTATTACTAGTATACATTATTTAAAAGCTTTACTCACATCTTTAAAAGAAGCTGAACTATATAATAAAATAATTAATATTCATTAAGTTTATTCTGCATTCATTAAATTAACAATTTTTCTTAATAGACTATTATTAGTGCTGAGCTCTATTTATTTTTATATCACAGAAATGTGAATAAAAAAATTACAAATAGTCCCCGGACACCTGGATATGGACCTGCTGACTCTTTAGAGGATGTCGCACGCCTTCCTGACAGTTGTCATAAGCTTGAAGAAGACAGGTGTTCCAACAGTGCGGACATGACAGGTACATTTCATACTGAAGCAAACACTTGTTTATGAGACAGCAGGGCACTCGGGTGTGATTACTAAGTGGATTCCAGGTCTGGATTAGTCTATCGTTCTCGATCATTTACAGTTCTAACTACTGTGCCTTTCTCCAAAAGTCCATAATTAGTATTGTTAAAGAAATGTGAATCATTTCCTCTTGCATAAATAATGTCATTATTTCACCATATGAAATCTACCCTGTGGCTAAGTTTGTAACTATTCTTTTTTAAAGGTCCTTCTTTGGTAAGATCATGGAAGTTCGGGATGTTTAGTGATTCTGAGAGTACTGGAGGAAGCAGTGAGTCCAGATCTCTGGATTCAGAATCTATAAGTCCAGGTACATAAATATTTAAGTCTAACTGAAAATTCAATGAAAGATTGATATCGTCCCTTTGGGGTATTTTTAATGAGCATATTTTTAGAATGAACTATCTCAGACATAAAATACATATACATAATTGTAGTTTAAAGAAAAATGATGAAACCTTTATATCTAATCTGGCAAGCAGAACATGAAAAGCACCATTTATATAACATAAATAAGTAAGTCATACATACATACATATATAAAATTACGTTAGCCCACTAGAATAAATCATTCTATAGCTACCTTAAATGTTTTTGTTAATATATTTCATGGACTTTACCATTTTCTGGATGCTCTAAAAATAGAATATTTCCTTACCTTGATTTGGGAATTGGGCCTGTTGTGTGTTGGCAAGTACTCAGCCACGGAACTATATCCTAAGCCTATTTTGTTTTGTTTTTTTTAAATCTGGGTTCTAAGTTGCCCAGGTGGGCCTTGAGCTCATCTGTAGCCCAGGCAAACTTTGAATCTTGTGCTCTTCCTTCAACCTCCCCCACCACTAGGACTGGCAAAATCAAAGGATTCATTTTGACTTCCTTCGTCCATGTTGATGTGAATAGCTATGTCTATGTTTATACTGTTTAATAACTTGTAATGAAAATATTATTTGGGTTTTGTGGCATGTGTGTTTGTGTGTGTGTGTGCTTTAGTTAATTGCTATAATAGGCCATACCACCAACATTTACTCTTTTGTCACCTGCTCTGTCATATGTTAAATATGAAATATGAATAAAAGATGCTGCCTGTCTTTGTAAAGCCTGTAACTCAAGCGCTTACTGTCTGAACTGGATAGTAAGATCTCAAAAATATATAATCTTTTTTTTTTTTAATCAGGTTTACTACATTCCATTTTTTCTCAGGGATGAATATATAAATCCTCTGTTAGGTAGATTTTGAGAATAAAAAAAATTAATAAAAACTAATAAAATAATACAAATTGTGTCATTCCAAGAATGTTATTACTACCTATTTCTGCTGTTCTTCAGTGACTAGTCAGGTAATGTATCCACAATTTCCCTTTAGGAGACTTTCATCGGAAACTTCCACGAACTCCATCCAGTGGAACCATGTCGTCTGCTGATGATCTAGATGAAAGAGAGCCACCATCGCCTTCAGAAGCTGGTATTAAATTTATCTCAGTTAGCACCTACTAGTCCAGTTGAAACAGTGGTAGTGCACAGCACTGGAACATTACTTTGTTATGTGTATCTTAAATATACCTGCATGTTTATGTATGTGTATGAATTGATCAGATGGTTGAAATATGTCTACAAGAATAAGGAGTAAAGCTGCTAGATCTAAAACATACTGGCAGTGTGCTGAACAGCAGGTAGTATATACGGATGATGTTCTTTCATAAGTCAAATACAGTGACTTTCTCTTAAAAGCATGCCATTGCGAAAGAAATTCTGGAAAAGCTCATTAATAGTGCAGAGGCAATGGGGGAAAAAAACAGTGGTAAAACTCTAACTTACTGTGCACAAAACCCTGTCTGCTAGCCCAAGTACTGCAAAACAACAATTATGGTAATGAAGAAACTGGAGGAAGCCAAGTTGGAAAAGCAGATAATGTATTTCTCAAGGACAGGGAAAGATTTGGTTGTGGAAGATACAAAAATTAGCTACCTTAATGACTTGAATTAAACTGATATAAGTTAGTTTTTATTCCTTCTGTACACTCAGATGTTTGTTTCTTTTGGCAGAATTTCCAAAATTAATAGAATATTTGATGTCTACTATGATTTAAAAACATAACTAGCTAATATTAATCTGTAATTTTACAAGACAGGTACTGTTTTTAATGCACATATTGCTAACATGCTAGTTCTGTGTAGCTCTTGTCAAGTAGTAATTGGGTTTTCTTGGAATGGAATGTAATAAACACACTTCCCTGTTGTGTGTAGGACCTCTTAATAAAAGCACAAATATGCTTATCCTGGGAACATCATGTCATAGCATCTTAGAATTAGCGTACTGGTTTGGTGATGTTACTTTTTATAAAAGTATGTGGTTATAACTATAAGTTGTTTTTGATGTTAGAAACCCCAGACAATAGTTTTCTGTAATAAGTAGATGATTGAAAAGCCTAAGGATTACTCAGAATATATAAAATTTTGGTCATCTTTTCATTCTCATATTACAAGGACCCAATTCCCTTGGAGCATTTAAGAAAACAATGATGTCAAAGGCAGCTCTCACTCACAAGTTTCGCAAGTTGAGATCCCCCACAAAATGTAGGGATTGTGACGGCATCGTAATGTTCCCAGGCGTTGAGTGTGAAGAGGTGAGATCTGTTTGGAATTCATCGGCCTTCTCATTTGTTTAGTTGGTTGATTACTCTGTATTTACCAGTACTTTTGATTAGAATATTAAATGATAGGTTGTATTGTGGCATCTTCATACACATACACACATATATGATTATATATATGTTATTAAATAGTGTTGGTTTTTTTTCCACTATACATTTCATTTTTCGTAGGATTTTATTTATTAGGCTCTTTGACAGGTAAATATTGTATTTCATTTTTTGTTGTATGTGTATTGATGGTTTTCCTACATGTATGTCTGTGTGCCAAATGTGTGCAGTGCCTTTGGAGGCCAGAGAAGGGTGTCAGATAGTCTGGGACTGGATTAGAGATGTTTCTGAGCCATCCTATGGGTGCTGCAAGTTGAATACCAGTCCTCTAGGAGAGCAGTTAGTATTTGCAACTGCTAAGCCACCTCTTCCACCTCTACAGATAGATTTAATAGGTTGAGCCGCAGTGTGTCTTTTATTGCTTTGCTCTTTTTTCTGTTGTTAGGTCTGTTTCAGACATTACAAATAACACACTTTAAATTTGTTTTTGTGTTACCAACCTAACTGTAGTTTTCTTGATTGTGAATAGTTTTAAGGTGAATTAATGAGTTTTAAACTGTCATTTTCTTGTAGTGTCTTCTTGTTTGTCATCGAAAGTGTTTGGAGAATTTAGTCATTATTTGTGGTCATCAAAAACTTCCAGGGAAAATGCACATATTTGGTGCAGAATTTATACAAGTTGCAAAAAAGGAACCAGATGGCATCCCTTTCATATTAAAAATTTGTGCCACAGAGATTGAAAATAGAGCCTTGTGTCTCCAGGTACCTAAGTGTATGTCATTTGTTCTAATGAAAAGAGAATTTGTACTGCCAGTTTGTAATAGTTGATATTTGAAAACTGTTATTTGTCCCAGCCAGGGTTTTTTGTTTTTTGTTTTTTTCTGTAATACAAAAAAAAAAAAAAAAAAAAAGTAGGTACATCAAATATGTCTGGATGTCTGCAGTGGCCTTTTGAACTAAAGCAGAATTTGTTTCTTTATTCAAGGGAATTTATCGTGTTTCTGGAAACAAACTAAAAACTGAAAAACTGTGCCAAGCTCTGGAAAATGGAATGCACTTAGTAGACATTTCAGAATTCAGTTTCCATGACATCTGTGATGTCTTAAAATTATACTTGCGGCAGGTAACGTTTTTATTTTTGTAACCTATCGTATTAAAACAGTAAAAATACGATTGGTGTTTTGTTTTTCAGTTCATGACCTTTGTACATACATATTTTCATTGGCATAGACAATACTGATGCTTTCTAAACCCTAATGGATAGGTCACAGTGCAAATAAGTCAGACATAGAAATAAAAACATAAATAATAACATAATAACATAAATAATAATAAAACACTGATTTCTCATCTCTCAGGAAAAGAATATAGAGTAATACTCTACCTTACAGAAGACCTCCATGTGCCTTTTCTAAGTTACAGCCTCCTGACTCCACATGGAAGCACTTTCCTAGCCATGTAAATGAATAAACATTTTCCTGAGCATGAAGAAGTAAATAACATGAAATGTTTGTAGTAAGTTTTAGAAACTTGACATAAAAGCATAGTTATCTTTGTATGGAAAGGCCAGTGTTGAACTGTGTCATAAATATTCAGCAAGCAGAGTAGTGTTTAGATCAGTTTGCTTTTGTCTTCCCTGTCATTTCAAAATAGCTATTTTAGATGGTCAGTAGGGAAAAAAAAATAACAAAAAACCAAAACAACAATAACAAAAAACCCTTAAAGTATATATTTGGAACAAGAAGCAGAGCTTTCCTATCAGGTGGGTACCAGAAAGCTAACAGGAATATGGTCAGGAAGAAGGCTACGCTATATTATCTTATCAGCAGTTGAGTTAGCATATTCAAAGAAAACACATCTATGGGGGAAAGTAAGTGGCCATAGGCAGAAGCTTGTGGGGGGGTTACAGAAGCTTGGCACAGTGTATTGCGCCAGGTACAAAAATTACTTGGGCCATTCCCTTCTGGCACACTGTTCTCAGGAGAAATTGCAGAGACGGTAGCAGAGAGGGTCGTGCTGATTCTCTCCAACATGGCAGGCTCTGGAGTTCATTGTTGCATTCTGGATCCTGTTTGTCTGGTTATATAGCTCCTATCTTGAGATTTCATTTTTCTGTGAAGAAAATATTTCCTATCTTTGTTTCTGTCTTTTTTCCCCTATTTTGCTCATGTCTATCGTTGAACAAGGTGGGCCTTACTCATCTGTAAATGTTTTTATTCTGTTCTCTTAATGTAAATTGGGTAGCATACATAGTAAATGCCTGTACTTTGCAGGTAGGCCTTTGCTTTGAGTGTTTGGCAACCGCACCAGCTCTGTAGTCTCCTCCCCTTTCTCTGTTCATTCTCCTGCTTGTGCTGTGTTGCAGTGCTTTCTAGGAGTTTCACTCAGTCTTAACTCTTTCCACTGCTATAAACTTTGCTATCCCTAGGATCACTCTTTAATTTCTGCAAACTCTGGTGAACTGTCCTTCTAATTCACTTGACTTTTTTGTATATTATACTTCTAATCAATGCTAACATTGGGTTAGTAATTAATATAAATATAGACATAGATTAGCATCTTAAAATCCCTTGTAGATGTCTGTAGCAAGCATATACACTCCAAAAAAAATTTTTGTATATGTATGGATATTTTGCCTGCAAGTATGTTTTTACCCCCTGCATGCCTAGTGCCAGGGGAGACCAGGAGCCCATTAAATCCTCTGGAGCTGGAATTACAGACAGTTGTGAGCAGCCCTATGTGGGTGCTGGGAATGAGACCCAGGGCCTCTAGAAAAGCAGCCAGCGCTCTTACCCATTGAGCCATCTCTCCAGCCCCAAACATATACAGTTAAAGACCTACTTTAAATCTTGTTAACCTAAAAGGACATGGTGCATCATTGATTAGTTGTGAATAATAGTTAACATTAGCAGGGAAAAAAAGACAGAACAATATTCATAATGTAATTTTATTTCTTTAGCTCCCAGAACCATTTATTTTGTTCAGATTATACAAGGAATTTATCGACCTTGCAAAAGAGATACCACATGTAAATGAAGAACAAGAAGCAAAAAAGGATAACCCCGAAGACAAAAAACACCCACATGTGTGCATAGAAATCAACCGGATCCTTTTGAGAACCAAGGATCTGCTGAGACAGCTGCCAGCATCAAATTTTAATAGTCTTCATTACCTCATATTACATCTGAAGCGGTAAGAGTTTTATATAAATAGAGACTCCTTTAGTGGGTTAGTAGGGTTTTTTTGTTAAATAAAATATAGCACTTTTACCATTTTTAGCACGATAGCTGTGTTAACTATATTTTTATGTATATTTTTAATGGATTTCATTTTTACATGTTAGAAGAAAGGGAATGAGGCGTATGTTGAAGCAGCAACACCATCCTCAGTAGTCTTCTGTGAGCCCAGCTCTAGTTGAAAAAACAGGATAGAAACAGAGTTTCTGTCATCTGTGGGCTCACAGACCTGCACATGGTACAGCATCATTTTGATCAATAGGTCCTCAGGGCATGCAAAGGAAAGTGGGGTAAGTCAGAGAAAGCAGCCTTCCAGGAAGGCTTAAAGAAAGCAGTAGTGACTTACTTGTTTAAGAGTGCTCAGAAGAATATTCCAGGCAGAGGCTAACAGACACAGATAGGTGAGAACAGTTTATATTTAGGAAATAAGGTAATGTGTGCACCACGGAAGGCACAGTGGGAACTGATAACATCTTGCATACCTAACAGTTTCATTTACCATCTTGCTTCTGTACCCACTAAGATTTTTGAGCCAGGAATTTTACATGATCAGATCTGCCTGTTAGATCTTTCTGGCAGACCCAGGAAGAACTGGCTGGAGGGAAGACCTTTACTGAAGTTCCAGTCGTTGTGAGTAGTTGTAGGAACAAGAGGTGATAAGAACTGGAAGTAAACTAGGAGTGGGAGAGTGACTGTATAACGCTGAGACCTCTCGGAGGAGTCACCTAGGCTTGACAATTAGCCTTGGCTATAAGAAATTTTGCTTCCAGTATAAAGATCTGGAAGCATATGTAGAAGTAATCTTTAAAGGTTCCTTTTTTTTTTATTCTGCTGGAAAAAAAAGTCAGTAATTCCTTCTGCTTGGTTTTTATCCTAATACAAAAATATGATTAAATCAAATTTGATGTGTATTCAACATTTTAATCAAGTAATTATGAATTTTTCTAGACCTCTCTTACAACTTGACCCTTAACCATTTTCTAGACTTTTGTACCCTGTATGTATTCAGGCAGCCAGCATGGTCCCTCAGGTGCCTCCTGTGTGCAAGGCTCTGTCTGGAGAAATGGGATCTACTCTTCCCAACCCATAGTAAACTACACCAAAAAGCGTTAATAGGCAAGTCTCATAAAGCTTTATGTGTTCTGCTTTGCAGGGTGGTAGATCATGCAGAAGAAAATAAGATGAATTCTAAAAACTTGGGAGTGATATTTGGACCAACTCTCATTAGGCCAAGACCCACAACTGCTCCTGTAACCATCTCTTCCCTTGCTGAATATTCTAATCAGGCACGATTAGTAGAGTTCCTCATTACTTATTCACAGAAGATCTTCGACGGGTCCCTCCAGCCTCAAGATGTTATATCTAATACAGGTGCTGTTGCACCTCAGGTTGATCAAGGGTACCCTCCAAAACCTCTGTTATCACCTGATGAAAGAGATGCAGATCATTCTATGAAACCACTATTTTTTTCTTCAAAGGAAGTAAGTTGCTTCTTGTTAATTGGTATGTGTATGTGTGTATGTACAGACACGCACAGGCTTATGCATGCGATGGCCCTTGGGTAGAAGTCAGTGGACAACTTTGGGGAGTTGAGTCAGGAACTATCTTGTTTCTGCTGCTGAGCCGATGATCCAAGCGAACTCGTTCGAAAGCTTCTGAGCAATTCCCAGGCCTCTGCCTCTTATCTCATTGTAGAAGCTCTGGGGTTACAGACACATGCTGCTGCATCCGTCTTTTTATGTGGGTTCTGGGGATCACACTCGGGTTGTCAGGTTTGTGTGAACAGCACCTTTAACTGTTAAGCCAAAGTTTTGCCTGGTATAGAATTGGTGTTTTGTGTCCGTAGTTTAATGGTCTTTGAACTGTTTCTTTTGAAATGTGCTTTGCTTCTACAAGTGTGAAAATTCTCTTCCATCAACAGGATGCCCATACTGCGGATGGTGAGAGCAGAACTTTTGAATTAGCTACATCATTTGAAGAATCAGAACGCAAACGGAATGCATTGGGAAAATATGAGGCTTCTCTCATTGGTGAGTAGCTGTATGAAAAACACTTGGTACAGAATTAAAATTTTATAAGTAAACTATTACTAAAAGCCAAGGTGAGTGCACCAGGTTCAATCCTCAGTACTTCAGAAACAAACACAAGCCAAGGGAAATGAAGTTAAGGGAAGTCCAAACTCCCATGTTTTGTTACTTAACAAATCTTTTCCAGTCACTGAGAAAGTTGCCTTTTAGTGTACCTTCCCTCTTTCTGTTTTTTTCTGTTTGTGTGTGTATCATGTGCATATGTGTGCATCCATATTTTTCATGTATGTGGATATGTATATGGATGCCCCCAGTTGATATTGGGAATCTTCTTTGATCCATCTTCTACCTTAGACATTAAGGTAATGTCTCCTAACCAAACCCAGTGCTTGCTAATAAGGGCTAGTCCTGGTAGCCAGCTTCCTCTGGTTTTCTTCTGTCCTCTACCTTCCAAGGCTGGGATTATGGGCAAGCTGCCAGCCATACCCAACATTAATATGAGTTCTGAGATGTGAATATTGGTCCTCACAGTGAAACATGTGTCTTAACAACCAAGCCATCTCCCCAGCCCTGTGCCTTACATTTGAATATCACTTTTCACAATACCTTTTTAACAAAAGATACTTTAGAATTCCTAGGTGTTTTTTGTGCTCCTTCTAAAATTTTGTTTTATCTTGTGTTGTCTGGCTTTTGCCTCTTGTTCAATTAAAGTTGAGGCAGGCAAGTGTTAAGCAGCGTGCTACTGGTTAACATGTTTTGTAATGTGATTCAAAGTATTGCTAAAGTTAACTGCTAATGAGCATTAAACCAGAAATCCTAAAAGTGGAAGTGGAAAGATGGCTTAGTGGTTTAGAGCACCTGCCAGAGTTGCTCTTGGAAAGGACCCAAGTTGGATTCTCAGCGCCCACGTGATGGCTCACACTATTTGTAATTCCAGTTTCAAAGAATCTGATGCCCTCTTCTGACTTTCACTGGCACCAGGAACTCACGTGATGCACGAATGTACATATAGTGCAAATACTCATACATATAAAAGAAATAAATACAAAATTTTGTTTCAGTTTGATTTGGTTTGGTTTTTGGTTTTGGTTGAGACAATGTTTTTCTACTCGCTTTGTAGACCAAACTGTCCTCAAACTAGAGATCTGCCTTCCTGTGTGCTGGGATTAAAGCATGCACCACCACACCTGGCTTTTTTCCAGTTATTAAAAAGAGTTCTAAAAGTAAAAACTTCAGGCTCCAAAAGTTTTTTTTTTTTACATGCTTTTCTTGTAGACTGCCTCATAGGTATACGTCATCATTTCCTTGACTATTGCCATCACCAGTTTTCCTCTGATATTATTGAATGATAATTGGCATGCTGATGAAAGTGCTTGCATTTGTTACTGTAATTCTATAATTCAATTTTGCAGAAAGGTCAGATTTGATGTGTAATCAAGTATCAGTGAGCACAGCCTGATAAAGGAAAGAGCCTATTTGACTTTTCTGTTTGATTCCATGCTTTAGCTGTGGCCAAGGTACCTGAGGGAACAACTTATGAGCAAGGGAGATTTATTTTGACTCATGGTTTCAAAGAGAGGTTACCTTAGTAAGAAGGCATATTAGAATAGAGCACTTCATGTCGTGGTAAAGCAGAGAAAGGAAAGGAGTACAAGAAGGGTCAGGGTAAGATCTAGTCCTCAAGGACATGTCATTTGTGACCTACGACCTCCAATTGGACACCACACTGAAACAACTTCCCAATAATGCCATTACAATATGAATCCATCAAGAAACTAATACAAGACTAGTGAGTTGGTTTATTAGCTAAAGACACTTGCCACACAAGCTAGGTGACCTGAGTTCAAGAGAATAGCTCCACGGAGCTGTCCTCTGACCTCCTTTGAGCATACCATGCACATACACAAGTTTTTAAAGAAATCTGTCCACTTGCTAGGTTAGAGCCATCATGACCTAATCTCTGGAACTACCCCCACCCGGGGTCTGCTTCTCAGTCCTTTAAGTTGACAATGAACGTTCCATTCTGATTTGATCTTTGTAGCAACTCTGTGCTATAAAGAGGATAACACTGGCCTCACTCATAGCTTACAGCCTGAGACAGAAATGGTACCAAGAGTCATATGTTTAATGAATTATTCAGATAGAATTTGAAGCCACTTATATCTGATTTATAAATCTAACCTGTTTTTTGTTTTTCACTATCCCATGAAATTAGGTTCCCAATTAGGAATAGTAATAAACACAAATAATTTGAAGGTATTTTTTAGTATTTATTGTAGACCAGATAGTTCTAGGTACTTTTCTTGCTTAGAGCATTTAGAGCACAGGACAACTTAGACACATGCATTCTTATGTGATTAGTGAAGGCAGGTAGGAGCCGTGTAATGGCCTTTATGTGCAGATCAGGATCAAGACTAGAACCCAGGCAACTGGCTGTGGAGCCCATTTTCCACACTTCTTGCAGCACAGAAGGAAAATGTGTACTTTGGTTCTTGCAGCCAGCTGCAGTGAGTCAGATCCCCTAGAGCACTCTGTAAATGTGGGGAAGAACCCCGGGAAGTAGGTGACACTGTTCAGGAGCCGGGGGAAGGCCGTCATCTGGGACCTGAGGAGATGGTTCCGTGGTGAAGAGTGCTTGCTGAATTGTCCTGAATTTGGTTCCCAAAACCCACTGCTCACAGCCACCTGTAGTTCCAAAGGAACCCAGCACCTCTGGTCTCTTGAGAGAGCATCTATGCTTTTGTGCACGTGTGCACACAGACACGCATAATTCATTTTTTAATGAAAAGGTTGCCAGTCCAAGGTGAATTAGAGGTCAGAGGAGATGATGACTGACAAATGATGCTGGCAAATCACCTGTCTACACACCATGCCCAGGAACTGGGGAGAAGGTCAGGCCACGGACAGAGACTTCAAGCCATACACAGAGCCAGGCTCATGGACAGCTGCTATTTAGAGTCAGAACAGTATCAGGGTGCCAAATCATTTGATGTTTGTCAGCACCAAGAATCAAGGACAGGACTTTTGCAGGAATTGCAATTTCTCAAGTAGATATAGACAAAAAAATAAGAAAAGAAAAAGATAATATTGGGAGCTGAGGACTCAAGATGAAAAAGTGTGGCCACGGGTCCAGAACAAGGGAGAAAGAAGAAAGTCAACCTGGGGCAAGTAGCCTGTAGGGAAATGCAGTGTTTTTCTTAAAGCACAGTTTTTCAACCTTAGTTTGACCTAATGGATGTTAAAGTTAATTAGCAGAGCAGCTGTGGCGAGCGCCCTTCTCACTGTTGGCTGAATATGTCTGAAAAACAGAGCCCGCGAAGTGTCTGAGTTCTTGGGATTCGGGGCATGCCTGCATTTGGTTGGCAGGGTGTGGTGTCATTTTTCTAAGTTAACTCACTGATGTCTGCCTGTTGACTTTTTTAATCTAGAAAATACTTGTTCTTGGGGAGCACATTAGAACAAATTACTAGACAAGTACTTTTTGTATTTTGTTCTGTTTTTAACTAACTTGTGAAATGCTGATGGTAGTTTTTTGCATAAATTTATGCGAAAATTAAACTTTTAAATTCAAATGTCATCTTTAAAGAACAGTTAGGTTTTCTGCATAGACAACTGAGAATACCATGCTGGGACATTTATAAACTTTCTTGTTATCCAATGTCTGTCTGTCTTACTCAGGTTGTCGTGCTCATCACAGCCACTTTCTTTTTCAGACAGCAAAGGGCATTTGCTTTTTGACCAAGAGCTTGAGTCAGCATCCAAAAAGATGGAAGATGTTTGTAAAAGCCCCAAGCTATTTCTTCTGAAGTCTGATAGGGCAGCAAACAGTGTGCAAAGGCATAATCCAAGGACCAAGATGAGACCTGTAAGTTTGCCCGTAGATCGGCTACTGCTTCTTGCCAGTTCTCCTACTGAGAGAAGTAGCAGGAATATAGGAAATGTAGATTCAGACAAGTTTGGCAAGAATCCTGCCTTTGAAGGACTTCATAGAAAAGACAATTCAAATACTACTTGTTCCAGAGTTAATGGCTTTGACCAGCAAAATCTGCAGAAATCCTGGGACAGACAATATGAACAGAACAGTTTTACTGCCAAGACTACCATGATTGTACCCAGTGCTCACCCTGAGAAGGGACTGACAACAGACTCTGGGAGTACTGGGGACCATTCCAATAGTGCCGCCCCGCCCAGTAAACCACAAGCAGAGCCAGCCAGGCCAGCAAGAGACTCATCAGAGCGGAGGTCTTCTGACTCCTGCCCTGTCACTGCTGTCAGAGCACCCAGAACGCTGCAGCCCCAGCACTGGACAACATTTTACAAACCACCCAACCCCACCTCCAGTGTCAGGGAGCCTGAGGGGAAAACAGCATTACCTTCAGCAGCTGTGTCTCCTGTCCTGTCGCACATTCCCCAGATTCCTGTGGCAAAATCAGACCTAGACTCGGGCATCACATCACCTTGTCCCGTGCAGCCAAGTGTTCAACCTAAAGAGAACTGTGAGGAGCCTGGCCTGCCCGAGGGGACTCTAGCCTGCCAGAGACCACGACTAAAACGAATGCAGCAGTTTGAAGACCTTGAAGATGAAATCCCACAGTTTGTGTAGGATTGTCAAATTCAAGTCTTTCTGTTTTGTGGTGTCATTTTGTAAGAGGACTGTTTGGACAGGGCCCTTTTGTATAGGATTGCCAAAGCTGTTTGTCATTGTTTGTATTGTTTGTTCATCATGTGGCATAGAGTATTCTGACAAGGCCGCATTTAGGCCTCACTAGAATGATTTTGAAGTTGTAAAGAGAATAGGCAGATTTGTGTTTTTTAGAGTTTACTTTCCCCATAAAATGATCCATTTAAATGTATCCCTAATATATGATACAGTTTTTAGCAGTAGGTGCAATTGGGGAAAATCAGCTTCATTACGCAGAGTGAGACCAAGTGCATATTTATAAAGTATTGTTGAACACAAGTGCCTGGAAGATGCCCATGTGCTGTGATTTCCCCACACAGTGTCATAGGGCATCTTTTAACTATTTGTACTTTTGTAGTTGTATGTAAGCTTTTATTTTTCAATTGAAAATTCACATTTTAATATTTACATAATTGCCAAAGGATTTGCCAGTCTATATTTAATTCTCTTGTAATTGCCAATTTTTACATGTGGCAGTTAAGTTGTACCCCCAAAAACTGCACTTAAATCTGAACTGTGTAATTCCATTACCTCTTAATTTGGCGTTAGATGGTTTTAATACATTTGGGGGGTGTTTTGTTTATCCCTTAGTCATATCTTTGTAAACTTTGTTTCCAACAATTCTGAACATGTTTTATACAGTGGTCCAAGAAAGATGGTATTTTCAGAAGTTTTAGAATTCAGTACATTTCCTATTTTTACAGTTTATTTAAACTGTTCCTTTTATAAGAAATATTTTGACTTATGAATCATTTTATATACTTTTTCTACCTGGCTTCCAACCATTGAAAATGTATAGTTTATTCAAATGGAGTGAAGATATATTTAAGTTGATCCCAAACACTTCAGTAAGCCTTATGCTTAGAAATTTGAGAGGGGTAAATGACCAGATCTGTTTCATTAAAAAAAAAAAAAAAAGAAGAAGAAGAAGAAAGAAAGAAAAGAAAAAGAAACAGAAAGAATGGCAATCTGGTTTTCAGAACTTGTGCATTACTGTTAATTTCTGCATCATTGTTTGTCTAAAATAGGATGTAAAAGGGACAACAAATACAGCAGCCTTTTGTATGTGTGAATTATATTATGCTTTTGTATGACCTGTTATATTTGATAAATATATGTACATATTCACTTGTTAAATTATTTCAGGTTCTCATGGCTTGCCTGACAATATTGCCTCTTATGTTGTGATCTTTAGTGTAATTAACCATTGGCTTAGGGGTCAGCTCTTGGGTTCATACATCCCTTAACTACAACATGGAATGGTTTGTGACAAGTTGTGTTGGAGTCTCTATGCCATTAAGAACTAGGGAGAGATGAGCAACCAGCCTTTTCACGATGAAGCTTTGTTCTCGTTCCTTATTACACACCCTATTGCTGTGAAAACCAAAATGAAATTGGTCAACACTTGTTGAGCCCCTTTTGTATGCTGCAAACTTAACAAAATTTCTATATGAATTTTCACAGCAGCCTGTAATGGGCAGGTGAGTATGTTGTTATTCCCCTGTCAACAATGGCAGTAGAAACTTATGTGCCATACTTCAAAGTTCAACAGGTATCACCAGCAAAATTAATCCTAAGACTCGGGACTATCTGATTTTGATGGTCGGTGCTCTTAGCAACTCTGTGGTAGTAGCAAACGTTACTGGAGTGTGCTTAACAATAACAAACTCCCCTCTGAAATTTCTCACTGCGAAATAAGTAATTCACCGTGTGAATCACTTCTGCATGTGTGGTTTAGGAGCAGGACGTGTGTTTACATTGTTATGTGGGGGTGCATGACTCCATCTCCACAGTTTCCTTACCATTCCATACTTAAAACTTGTGGCTTTAACTCCAGCCTGAACATGGGGAAACCGCCCAGCCGATTAATATATGGTGGCAGAAAGCAGCCTCTGTTTGCCACTTCACAAGTGGCAAATGTCACAAGTGACATTTCCAATTGTAGATCTTTCTACCTGTAGGGCTTCCTGGCATCTGGATGGTCTCTTGGGAGCACTACGCAAGCCTCTCAGAAGAAAGAGTTGCAATTTCTAGTGTGCCCAGAGTAGCCACTGTGCCTGCTACCCAATAGCATTGTGGCGGTCACCCACTGGGGAGTTATTATATGATGACTGGAAAGTGATGTGAGCAAGGGGAAAGGGCAGAAGCTAGGAGTCCTTCTAGAAAAGTTTTCAGACTGCCAAAGAGCTTTATGGAAATTTCTGACAGGCAGTTATGAAAAACTGATCATCATTCCCTAAACAGACTTAGCAGAACTTGTGGTTACTTTAAATAACTTTAGATAGCAAGCTAATTGTTTTTGCTGTGGAGACACTGAACTCTGTGGGGAACAGCTGTAGTGACCTCACAGGCAGATTGACTTGCAGCTCCTTCCTTTTGACATTAAGGTACACTGTGGCAGCACTCTTCACAGCCCTCCTTGTGCTGCAGCGATGTAGAACTACGTCATCTCTTCAAGTGGCAGCTGTTCTATATTCTTAATTTATGCTCCATGTAGTTCTTTCCCTTTCCTAAAGCTAGGAAATAATTTTGTGCATTGATGTGATTAGATGTATAGATGATTCAGTTAAGATGCACAGTCTAGCAGAGTTCTTCTGTTCACAGTATACAGAATTCAGTTGAGCTCCTGTAAGTCAGCAGCTAACAGAGTTTTCAGGACCTCATTTCAGTAGAATAAAAATTGAAGACTTAAGATGTCAAGGAGAGTTCATGTAGAGTTTTATGAAGAGTATTCTACATACATAAATTGGAAACCTCTTCTTCTATATGACCATAGTACAACTATTCAATTCAGGTGGTTAACATTGTCATAATAGTGATGTCTGATCAATAGAGCAAATTCTGTACACACTGATCCCAAGCATCCCAATCAAAACTCTGAGCTTTCTAGGCATAATGGTGAATTCCTTTAACCTAGCACTCAGGAGGCAGAGGCGGGCAGATCTCTGAGTTTGAGACCAGCCTGGTCTACATAGTTTCAGGATAGCCAGGGCTACACAGAGATGCCCTGTGTCCAAAACAAAACTTCTGATCTCTACCGCGCTAACTGAATCTTTAACCCCAGCAGCTTCAGTCTTCAGCCCAAAGTTTGAATTCTAGGCCCAGAAGAAAGGGAAGAAAGCCGTTCACAATCTTAAAAATAGGCAATTACTGAATATTGACTTGACTGCAGAAAGCTTTTAAGTGAAAGCTGCATGTGGTTTGAAATGTCTTCATAACCAGTGTAATTACTTTGCCAGTAAAAAAAAAAAAATAACATTTCAGAAAATAGTCATGTTTCCAAGTTACAAGTTTTCTTTTAGGGTTCATCTTTGGCATTTTACATAAATAGCTCTTGAGCAATGCCTCACAAGAAAACCTGCCTTGGCTTTCTGGATATGTTTCTGTCCACCTGTCACAGGGTATTTTAAATGTATATGAAAAAGAAGGATGGTAGGTGTTAGCTTTTGCTTACTATGACAAAATGCCTGAGACAGACAACTCAAAGGTTGAAAGGTTTGGTTTCGGGGGTTTCAGTTCACTGTTGGGTCTGAGCTGAGACACTTCACGGCAGAGGGAGTCTGTAGCAGAGGAGCCTGCTGTCCTCATGGCAGCAAGGACAAAGAGTAAAGGACCAGTCTTTCAATGGCGACCCCCTCGTGTGACCCACTGTTTTCAGGCCCTTCCTCTTCTGTTTTCCACTACTTCGGCATAGCCCATTTAGCTATAGATCAGTGGATGAGATTGATCCAGTTGCCTCTGAACAAGGCTGCAGTGGGGAAGCAAGCCTTTGACACTCAGCTTTCAGGGGGACATTTTAGGTCCCGATTGTAACAGTGTCACTAGACTTGAAGCCTTTTGCCATCAAGGCAGTGCTGGTTGGTAAGTGAATGTAGCTCTAAGCTATAGCGATAAGGTCTTAGTAAGAGTTGTAGGCACACAGTGGTTCTCAACCTTCCTAACGCTGTCACCCTTAAATACAGTTGCTCGTGTTGTGGTGACACCAACCATAGAATCCTTTAGTTGGTACATCATAATTGTAATCTTGCTACTGTTATTAATCGTAAATATTTTTGGAGAGTTTGCCAAGGGGGTCACGACCCACAGGTTGAGAAGTATTGTCAGGATCGTTGTCATAGTTGCTCTCTGCTGAGTCCTTGTATTTCCACTGCATTCTTAAACAAATCCACTCTGTAGTTACTTAATAGTTTTGAGACGGGCTTAACTTCATTTTCACACAAGCAAACATAAAGATTAAATAGCTCACTAAAGTTTGTCTAGCTAGCAAAAGGTAGACTCAGGTATCTTTGCTATAAATGTCTCATTTCTAAATCTTGATCTTTTTAAAGCAAAGGCAGCTATTAATCATAGTATGTAAAAGTAACTTTTATTCACCTGATACAATTGTTGTCTTAGAGGCTTACTGCCTCCTACTGCTAACCTAGACCTAGTCTTCGAAGCTTCTAGCCTCTGTACAATCTACCCTAGGCCTAGAATGTTTTCAGCCTCTGAGACTTACTGCTTAATAAACTTACCCTTCTGGGCCGACTAGTTCAACTCCACTATTCCGGCTCAAACTCACTCTTCTCCCAGCTAACTTACTCAGTCTGGCTTTTCTCTCAGCCTCTGAATTGCTCTGCTTGTCCTCAAACTAACTCAAGCAATCTGTTCTAATCTGGCTCTTTCTCAATCTCTGGCTCATTTGGTCTTCACTTGAGTTCTCTCTCTCTGCAACCTGTCTATTACCGTTCTGGTAAAAACTGCTCTCCATGCATTGCACTTCAAGTAGCTTTCCTTTCCTCTTCTCATGAGAGTTGGGCATGTCTTAGTCTGCCAATTCTTTTTCTGATTTGTCATTGTTTCTGCCACTCAATTAAACAGCACTTTCAAACATAGGTGCTTCCTTCTACAAACTAACTTTACCTTCATTGTTGAAATTAAAGGTGTGTGCCACCACGCCTGGACCTAAGCTTTTCTTTACCTGAAACTTGGTCTGTACTAGGCTAGCCTTGAACTCAGATCTGCTTGCCTCTGTCTCCTGGATCAAAAGCGTGTTTGTATTCCAGCTGGATCACACAAACCTAGTCCTTTGGATATGATCTCTTATCAGAACAGCCAATTTCTGAATTAAAATTTCTCTACCATACTTAAAGATGATTTTTCTTCTAATTGCTAGGATACTGAAGTTAGGCATATCCCAACTCTTGAAGTCACTTTTAGTGTGTGTATATAAAATTTTTCGTCTAAAATACCTAAGTTTTTCTGAGTTCCAGGAGAGATGGGCAGGTTATACTCAACCAGAGAATATGGGAGGTGACAGACTTAGAAGCGAGGCCCTCCATTCTCTCCCCAAAGAAAAGTTTGGGAAGCAAGGCTGTAATAGCTTTTAGAGATTTAAGCACAGAGGAACCAAGATGCCAAGGGGATGTTTAGCTTTTGCTCACAGTGAGGAAAAGGGTCAACAATCCAAGTGACAAGGCCCTAAACTAAGCTATTATCTTTGGGATAAGTGATGTAAACTCTATGTTTAGGAACAAAGCAGGGGCTAGTGACCCATTGTGGATGTGAAATTGAGTGGGTTAGAGAGAAGGAGGTTCGACCTGGAAGCCTGGAACATAGGAGCTCTCTTCAAGTGTCATAAACGGTGCCGAATGCAGTGGCACTGCCCAGTAAAGTAGCAAAAGATTAAGACTGAATAGCTTAAGGAAAATAACCCTCGGCAGAAATACAGGAAAGCTGGAAAGAAGGAAGACTTCTATAGAAAACCGCAAGTACAGTAAACACTGGAATTTGATGTTGAATCCAAACACTTGACGTCTGTGGTGGGTTGAAGAGGAATGGCCCCGTAGACTCCTGTTGAATGCTCAGCCCAGAGGGAGTGGCATTATTTTAGGAGGTGTGGCCTTGTGGGGGTAGGTGTGGAAGCAAGTGTGTCACTGTGTGGAGGTGGGCTTTGAGGTCTCATACGCGATTGAAATGAGCCAATGGCAAGACAAAGTTATATATATGCAGGTTTATTGGAAGCCCTCATGTAGAGGAAGGGGGAGGGAGAGGTGTGGTACACACAGAGAGAAGAGAGGAAAGAGGAAACACTGAAGGCATAGAGTGATCGAGAGAAGGGAGAGTGGGAGGAAACCAAAATGTCTGGATTATCTAGTGAA